TGGAAGAAAATCCAGATTCGTGATTCGATTATATGAGTGAATTTGAGAAGAGTATGCAATTTAAATATTGGAGTTTCGTGTCATCTAATTACTCTGTTGTGACTAGAAAAGGTGCGGTGCAGTGTGGTGCTAATTAAAAATTTTTCCCCATAACGTGATGTTTCGAAGCTTCATTTTGTTTGTCCATATAAGCAGGTAAAAAGATTGAAAGGATCAGGAAGGAGAGCTTTGAATATATTGTAGAGAGATTGATTCTTTAATTAGGATACAAGGTAGTGTATGATTTCACTACCACTTTCATCTTAATACATTAAGTTTATTTGTGTTTGATAATGAATACTTTTTTTCTGTGAGTTATAAGAAACTTGTGTACTTTATCATGTTCAATTTTATGAGGCTTTTGAATCTCTGAATTTTTTTAAAAAATATTTAAAAAGAATTTTGTTTGTTAATGTGACATGTGACTTTTACTCCGATAGGTATTGGTGGTCATAGAGATTATAATGATCATGATGGAAGTGGAGTTTGGGATGGCTCATCAACCCCTCTAGATCAATACCACCAAGGAGTTCACATAAGAAGAAGAAGGGGAAAAGAAAAAATAACAATTCCACCAAGAAAGAGATAATGGTGCCCGCCTGCTCTGTATCAATGCTGACAGTAGACTTCGGAGTATCAACAACACCCACGTGGAGATACAATCTGGTATGCTTCAATCGAGTTTTAGGCCACCATTTTCAGCAGGCAATTTAGCAGTTATCAAGGTTTCACAGAGTTTTGGGACAAAATGTATTGTGAATGTCAATCACTTTAAGTATTTTTTTTTTAAAGGGATCAATAGTGATTTGCTCAATCACTTTATCACTTTATGTAATAATTGTATTGATTTCACAAAAATAGATCATTGAATGGTAACGATTAAATTTTTCTTTTAATTTCTTGTTTAAGGTTTTCGTGGTATTTTACTTTTACTGTTGTTATAAAACACCAATATTATTAATAATATTAAAATATTAAAAAGTTATCCTGACACTATACCGTAAAAGATTTATTAGATAGTAAAAAAAGGAATTAGCTATCATGACATTTATAAGTGTCTTTAAAGTTTATTAAACTATTACGACATTGGTATATACCACACTTTGGATCAATGCCTTTAAAATTTTAATGTCATTATAGGTTATTTATAAAGACACTAATAAGTGCCTTTTTTATACCTTTTTCTTGTAGTGAATACTAATAAGTATGGACTGGATTAATCCTAGTCCATACTTTCGCAGCTATAGAACACACTAAAGCTATATAATCCGGGCAATTGAAGCAAGGTGCCAGAATTTTCTATGGTGCGAATTCGAGTTTGGTTTTCGCAGACACTAGGGTGCATGGTGACGTTTAACATTCCCAGTGGCCGAAAATGGTATTGGCATACGCAATTTTCAAAAGATGATAGATGCATTTTCAATCAAATTATGGTGGGAACACAAGAGTATGGAGCTGGAATGTGCTTTATGTTAATGATATCACTGTCGCATTCTTCAAGGGAGCCAACTACAAGTTGGCAAAGACTGTACAAGCTAGATTTTGATGCAACTTCGAAAACGAAAATAAGGCTTGGGCCACTTGGCGAAGGGCTTAGTTTTTTCGGGTTTGCCAACTGGATAAACAATGGAGTTTTATGGGAAACACAGCAACATATGCCGCCATTTCCTAACTTGACGCTTAAGGAATTTTTGAATGATAAAGAAAATATGTTGAACGTCATTCGTATCACCTGACAGAAAGGCAATTTCAGCATCTAAATAGCTGCTTAAGACAATTGGTTTCGGAAGAGGATCACTGGACAATATGAATCGGACATCAACATGTGACTTTACAGTTGCATTGGCCTATAAGGTCTTCAGAGAAATGCAAGAAGTCCCTTGGCTTAAAATGGCTTGGAATAGAATGATACCATTGAAGATCTCCTTCTTTGTTTGGAAACTTTACATTAGATTGCTGCTCATACCGGAAACCATCAGTAGAATGGGAATAGAAGTTTTTCCATCAAGATGTCCTTTATGCGAAGAAAACAAGAGGAGACGATGCATCATTTGTTTTTTGGATGTTCTATTGCCCAAAAAGTTTCGGAATTCTTCGCTGAAACTCTTGAGATTCACTTGCCTACAGTGGAAGGGCTATGATCATTTTTGCAAGTTTTGTTCTCCAAGGGGAGTTTTTGAACAGCAAAAAAATGAAACATCTTAGAGATACCAACATTCATTCTTTGGGAACCATGGAAAGCAATGAATCTTTCAACATTGGAAGGTAAAAAACAAAAATGATTTTAATTTCATTATTGGTGCAATTAAGGCTAACGTTTCAGGTATGTTGAGAGCACATGAAATTAATAGCTGGTTCGTCAGTAGAGAGGCGAAGAGATTGGAAGATTTTTCAATGTCCGTCTATCACTTCCCAGGAAAAAGAATATCATCACAGTATCGTGGATTCCTCCAAAAATTGAAAGTTATATTTTGAACACAGATAGATATGTACAAAGAGTACCAGAAGAAGCGGGATGGAGCTACGGAATTTGAGGATATAGACTTATAGAAGTTGATAGACATATTGGAATTTCTTATAGCGTGACGGCAGAGCTTCAAGGAATACTAGAGTGACTGAAGAACTGTGAAAGAATGGATCTACTTGTTGTACAAGTTTAATCTGACATCAAGGTGGCTGTTGATCTGATAAACAAAGGTAACGGCTTTCCTTGAATTTACCATGATAGTTTAACAAAGGTCATGTCAATATTTTCTCGATGGAAGTATCAAATCATACATGTTTTTCGAGAAACAAATGGTGTAACAGATGGCCTTGTATAAAAAGGAGCCGAGAGTTTGACTACAGAGTATGGACATCTCTTGGAATTGCATGCACCGAGAAGCCAAAGGGCTTTTGAATCTTGATCAGATATCGATTCCGCAAATGAGTCGTATAGATTGCTTGTGATTTATAAAGTTTCTTTATCATCATTGGATCTCGTTTCAATAAAATATATACTTGATTCTATTGGAATAGATATGAGAATGTATTTAGTTTTCTTATGTTTTGCATCAGAATCATCGTAGGATCTCTAGACAAATTTTTGTAGGACAGATGTTCATTTGTGTAAGTTTTAAGCACGGTCTCATGTAACTTATTTTTACAAATTAATAAAATTGCAGAATTCCCACAAGTACCACCTTCGATTTTCCTATAAAAAAAAAAAAGTGCAAAACTATCAAAGGGGGAATGTTACAAGTAATTAGGGAGTGCCTGATTCACTAGTTAGGATATGATAGAAAGAGGGTTTGATAGTATTCCAATTTTTATAACTTTTGTTGATAAACTATCATTGCCATTTATATTGCTTGGTTAGTGAAAATCTTGGAATGTGAAATGAGATAAAATGTCCTTTTTATCCTTAAACATTACTCATTTTTCCATAGAAAATTGATTTCTCCTCCTCCGCCGTCGATGGCTTGACCGATCAGAAGTGAATGAAAATTTCCATCAACAGAGACAATCATATCTCAGTGCCACCAACAAAGTTTTGTCAAATGGGTTTTTATTATTTTTTAATTTTCTTAATTCTTCCTATTCAAATTCAAAGAACTAAAGGAACAGAGATTTTAGCTCCATTGTAACAAAGATAAAATTAACCACCAATAAAAGAATAGAGAGAGAAGATAAAAAGTTTGAACTGATGGCTTAAAAAGTTCTAAATTTTTTGGACATAAATTTCAATGGATCTGGAAATGTCTTTGTGCAGAGTTAGAGATGGAGAAGATAGGCAGATATTTTGATGGCAAAAATAAAAGGTGATGATCTTGATGATTTTACTGAGAAGGGTGGATATAGGGAGAATTAAAAAAACTGATGATGAAATAATTTTGGTTTTTGCAAGGAGAGGGATGAAGGTGGAAGCCAGAGAGGAAGAAGGAGAAGGATAATGGCTGAGAGGAAGAAGAAGAAAGAGGAAGGGGTGGAGATCGAGAGAAGGGAGGGGGCAAAATGATGGAAAAGTTAACAAAAATTGTTTTCTTTCTATCAAACTCACCTAATTAGAGTGGAATGAAAGAAGAGGAGTGAAAACCATTTTTGTAGGCTAGTCCATTTCAAATTATTGAACCAAGCACCACAAAAAGATATCAAACCCATAGAATGGGTATCAAACCCTCTAAACAAGCACTCCTTAATAAAGTTTCAATCTACTCAGTATGGAGTACGCAAATACGAAGAACCTCACTGATCAAGAACGAACAAACCCTTGGCAAAATTCGGCAAATCCAATCCAAGCTTCCTGTGTAATGGTTTGAATTACAATTAGAGGCTTGTGTGGCCAAAGAGAGCATTAGTCTCGCGATAATGTGCTTGATTTAGGATAGCCTTTTCGCTCTTAAGTTATTGCTTTGTCCATACAACGCACATAACGGTTTTAAAAAAGCAACATGACGTCAAAAATACCGAAAGGTGAACAATATTATTCAAATCTCAGTGAGTGGTTTACCCAACTCTTCGATTACCACATTCAACAGCTAACCTTCACATTATCCCAAGCCGGACAAATCAGAAGACCAGTACTTTGCATCATTTGACCATTCAGTCACATATTCAACTGCTTAATTAAACTCCCCAATAAGAGTTCCAAAAGTACAAACCAAGGCTATTGAGATTCCTACAAAGTGCCGTAAGTAAAGCCGAAAAAAAATAACAAAAATTAATCAGTTTTGGCACCGTTTATATTTAACAAATATAAATCTTATTATGTGATGCACAGACTACAAGCTCATAAAGTTTGAGATTGCCAAACAATCAAAACGCAATTCACCCAAACTTTGTGACAATTATCAATTTTCCATTGGTTTTGGAGTAGATGGAAGAAAATCAAGTAACGAATCATGTGGTTCAAGCTCTTCATGCCACAAAGGAAGCGAATCGGGCAGAATAAAATTTTCTTGCCGTCCCTTCAGAGTTTATAGTCACAGTCCCACGATCCCACCACTAGCGCCATCTCTAGCAATTGCAAGAGAGACTACTTTGACAACCACTACCTCAGCTTCTCGTTGATTCATCCCTTCTTTCCATTCTTTGTCGAAAAAACCATACAAGTACGTCGACCCGGAACCTCCAATGCTGAAAGGTTGTTCAATGAGTGATCCTCCAAGTGATACGTCATATATCTTCCCTCCTTTATACTTGTCTCATCCACGAACTATCATTCCCTCTTGTAACATGCTCTTGTTATTGTAGGCAATCGATCTCACGAGAATTCGCCGTGACTTTGACCGTTGCAGGTTGGCAGAGTTGTATTGTGTGTTGATCAAGATACAATCGAACATAATCCGAGATAATCTGCGAATCGGCTGCCGATCCAGAGCGACAAATGTACACGTTGTCTGGCAATTGTGTAATTTTGTCAGAAGCCCTGTTGGCGATGTACAGACCAGTGCTGGTCCGTGAATCTGCTCCGAGCACAACTCCGCCGTTGTAGGTAACTCCGATAATAGTAGTTCCCGTGGATACAGGTGAACTGAAGTCAAAGGTGGCTTCCATTGGTGACTTTTGGGCGTTTGAGATGAGTCAAGTTGATCGTCTGCTGCTTTTTTATTACTACTGCTCCAATTGCTTCTAAATCTACTTTGATTGCTTTCTAGGCGACGTGCATCCGACTGAAAGTTTTCCAATTACTAGAAGGAATTTAACAATTTCTACGACGTAAACCCACGCACGGCCTGCTATTTTTTCTCCTTGGTGGATTCGGAAGATGAACCCTGGTTGCTGCTTAGTTATAAGAAAGTTATTTTTGGCAATGGCCATTATTTATTACAAAAACTAAACCATATTGGTTCCCCCCCCCCCTTTTGTCCTGTAATGTTGATAAAGTACAATTACTTTATTTTAAAGTTATTAATTGTTTAACTCTAGAGTAAAATGGAGAGGATGCCAACTTTGTAATCAACAAAACTAACATCACATCAGGATTAATGTGAATCTTACTTCATGTAAGGTTCTAAGTTGATCACCTAGAATTATGTGATTTTATGGATGTTTCAAATTGGCTGTTGCTTCCGTCATTGTGAAGAAAAAGAAAAAAAAGAAAAAAAAAACACCAAATGAGTACATTTTTGTCGATAGAAATTAGTAATAACAATAACGTGTTTCACCCATATGTACTTATACAGTTATACTTCTTATGGAAAATCATATATGACCAAAAGATATAACTGATGCCGGCGGGGAATAATCTGCCATGTAATTACACTCAGGGAAAATATGTTTCACTCCCCCCATACTCTAAGTGCGCAGTAAATGGACTCCGGGATTCCCATCAGCCACTACCATACCATGTATGAATACAAGTTACAATTTAAAAAAAAAAATTACTTACAAATTACTACATTACAATACACTTATGAAAATTACTTATAATTGCCAAGCCCTAGCGACCCATGTTGATCCCAATTGTAGCAAGTCCATTCTTCCGACAGGAAAGAACGGTTAATTTAGAGTTGACAACTATAACTTATTTTTTCTTAACAGCAGAAATCAGATGCACCTGATTCCAAAAACCCTAAGGCTCCGTTTGGTTGGAATGAATTGGAATTGAATTAGAATTACAATCCAAAAAAATTGAAATTAAAATATTGGGATTGCAATTCAATCTCAATTTATTTGTTTGGGAGATCTTAATAATTGACTAGAATTAAGGTTCTAATACCAATTCTTGCGTTTGGATGCTTCAAAATTTGGATACTTTAGAATTGAAATTAATTTGTTACTAGATAATTAATACAATTTATACTTCATGTCAAATTTTTTTTTTTAAAAAAAAACTTAATTTCCTATGTCAAAATAATCTATCACGGATATGTATAAAACAAAAAAAAATCATTGTGTACATGTATATTAGATTACTTTGTTATCCTTTAAACTAATCCTTTTTGAAAAAATAATTTTTTATTTAATTTGCTATATTATTTTGTGATTTATTATGTACACACTTTTTTGTAGGAAACAAAAGAAACATTATTGCGTAAGAATTATTACTATGATATGTAAACATCCTTGAGTCCCTCTCTTTTATTACTTTTCAAAATTTTTTAATTTTTGGTTTATTGATTTTTTCCCCTATATTAGTAAAAAATATTGTATATAATATAAATTCATTTTATGAATATTAATTTCTATTATATATGTTGACATTATTTTTTGGAATTTGCTTAAAATTTTTTAGTTTTAGTATATAGTTATATATGAAAAAACATATACTTAAAATTCAACTTACAGAATTTTTGATGAAAAAATGCCATGTATTATTTAATATATATATATATATATTAATATAGGTGTACATATGGAACAATTATAAAATATTTTTGAAAATTTTATGGTGTTTACTGTGTCATTATATAATAAAAAATTCTAACCCAAAATTAAAATATTTATCTATTAATTTTTTTGGGACAATTATACTTTTGATTTTTTCTCAAAAAAATATAATGTTAATTTTAGATTGATTTCGTTGATGATGATGATGATGATAATAATAATAATAATAATAATAATAATAATAATAAGAAGAAGAAGAAGACAAAAAGCTGAAAAAAAGAAAAACAAAACGAAAAGAAAAAGGGCAAGGGCTGAAAGCCAAAAAAAAAAGAAAAGAAAAGGACTTAAGGGAAAAAAGGAAGAGATGACCCGTTTATGTTATAACCCGGAAATGACCCGGTTTAGACCCGTGAATTTTTTTTTAATCCCTTGAATTTGAATTCCAATTATTTACCCCCACAAAAGAATTAAAATCAAAGAATTGAACCCAAAATAGTATTACAATTCCAATTCTTCCACTTCAATTTTTGTTAACCAAACACAAGAATTGGAATTAAAGAGCTCCAATTCCAATTCTTGGTCTCAATTCAATGCAACCAAACGGAGCCTAAGTAAAGATTCCAGTGCTCGGGTTGCTTGTTTTTCAGCTTTGTTAGTTACAAGTTTACCGTAGGTATGAAGAAGCCAAGCAGGGTTGATAAACAATCCCCATTTCTCCATTTTAAGATGGCTACAAACATATTGCAAAATTAAATAAAATTTCTTCAGCTTTAAAAATTGAAAGCACCCAACAAATTACAATCCTGCTTTAAAGTAACTGTTGTGGGTTTGCTGTCTCATACCGTATGCGCCTTACTCTATCTGTTTGAATTTATCACACATGGTTCTCAGTTTGTGTATGATATAGATAAAACACTCGTGTGTCCAAAAAAATATATATATATTTAAAAAATAGACCAGGTTAAGAATATGAAAAATATAAAATTTTTTCTTTTGGGACAGATAAAGTATATTTTAATTCCAAGAATAATATTCATCTTTTGCACGTTTGTGTGTATTATGTATCTATAGTTAAAGCTGTCATCCCCAAATTAATATAATGGTTACAAACTCGTTAGTAAACATTAATTAAATGTAGCCCTAAAAAAAATCATAGATTATCCTTTGCTAGCAAAACTGAATTGTCCGAAATAAATAATAACAATCAAAATGTCTCGAATTTTGTTCTAGATATGGGGAAAAAACTAGGTGTAAATAAACCAACGAGCATAAATTTTGTCGATCCGAAAAGAAAGAAATACATTGACCCAAATATACGAGTCTTCCCTTTCCCACGCGTAAAGCAGTAAAACACAGCATGGGATATCTTTCATTCGATACCATCCTTGACTCTCAAGAAACTACATGGAGTATTTAAAAAAATTATATCCTACCTCTATACTGAAATATTGTTCAGTTTGAATTTTCACTTTTAGTATAATACTAAATGCAAAAGTTTAAATTGGATAATACTTTCATAATGAAGGAGTATGAAAGATTGGTTCCGTTTAGACCAACGTGCTATGCTATATATATACACACAACCTAGATCGATCTGAACCTGTATATTAACATTAATGCTTTAAGGTTATTTTTTCTTTTTTCTTTTTTCTTCTTGGTGATCAATTATTTCATGCGAGTATATAGCATCTGTTGAGGGTCATGCGGCAAGGATTATGAATCCCACATCGGAGGCATGAGGACATGTGAATCAGTTAATAAGTAAGGTGGTCTCAGAACCCATTAGCTTGAGCTTTTGAGTTCAGATGAGTCTTATCTTACTTATTGGGTTCAATGTCGTGTTTTCTCCTCTGGATAAATCCCCAACAGTGGTATCAGAGCCCAGGTTGGGCCAGTTGGGTGGGTGATTTAGCCCAAATTATCTCGGTTGATCTGACTAAACCCAGGCAGTCAAAGGCTCACTACGAGCGGAAGCGTAGGGATGGGCGGCTCAATTACTCAAGTGGAGTATAGATTTGGGCTTGTCAAGATAATTTGGAAGCCCGATGTGAAGATTGCCCATAACGGGGGAGAATGTTGAGGGTCATGTGGCAAGGATTATGAATCCCACATCGGAGGCATGAGGACATGTGAATCAGTTAATAAGTAAGGTGGTCTCAGAACCCATTAGCTTGAGCTTTTGAGTTCAGATGGGTCTTATCTTACTTATTGGGCTCAATGTCGGGTTTTCTCCTCTGGATAAATCCCCAACAGTATCATTTGCGAACATGGGTCACATAGATGCTCTATTGTTAATCTTGTGACGTATGCTTCACCAAGGTTAAACATTCCGTGGTTTCCTGTAGTGAATTACGCGAGTATTGGTGATCATACTTTTAATACTTGGAATACGATTTCAGGTTCCTGTTATGATTTGGAAAAGGGCATATTAATTTCTTATTAAAAAAAATTACAAAAAATGAAGGAAAAAAATACGGAGTTAATGTTATATTGAATTTTGACTATTTTTTTACCATTAACCATTCTTGATTTTAGTTCGGTTTGATATTAGTATTATCATTTTACGTGATGGTAGTTTTAATAAGCAACGATCATTTCCGGCCGAACTGGAAATTTTTCATAATCATTAATCTAAACTTGCATTTAAAACATTTAATTTAATTCTTGGATAACTACTTAAAATCTGTCACTAACCACATTTAATTGGAGTTCTGGTTTTGTTCATTTACACAGGTATACGATTAATTAATTGGAAAAAAAATTAGCGGCCTTCGCTGCGGAGATTAGAGAATGGCGCTGGATGGGTCATCTGAGAGCTTGACGTGCCTATTGCCAAGCACGCGGCCGCCGCTGCTTTTTCCATACCATTTCTAATTAATTTTGTAATTAAGAAAATATATAAACTTTTAAATTAATAGTATAAGAGAGTTTTTTACCCATTATTATTATTATTTTCTTACTTACTTTAGTACTTTATTAGTACTTAATTAGGTCATAATCAGGCATAATATAGGTCATGGTTTCTACTCAAAAAAAAAAAAGTCATGGTTTCAGTCTACCGAACCGTTGAAAGAAATGGTCAACAAGGGCGGAGGAGTCACACTATAATGAATTAATTAATATGGCAATTATTTAGACCGGTTGACTACATAGAGAACCATGCTTTATATGATAGTGAAAACCAATATTCTAATAATAGGAGGTCTCTAGTTTTCAAGTTAGGCAAATTTACCCGGAGTCATTATGGCCCCTTCCCATTTTTTACACATATGATCCTTATTGTACTTTTTCTCAAACTTCTTATGTTTTGTAAGTTTAGTTCATGTCATTTTTTTTTCTCTCTTTATAAAATATCTCTAATTTTTAAATTAGCATATATCTCAATTCGTGAAGAATTTGTGAACGAATTATATATGAAACTCATAGTACTTCTCGAGATCTATCCAACAAGATCCATATCAAATATTTTCTTCGAACTTAAAAATGACTAAATTTGGATGGACAGAAATGAAGGAAATTTGTATGTTATTTGGATGGATATCTAGTTTAGAAAGATGGATAAATAACTATTTTATATTGATATTTCGGCACCGACATACCAGAATCAATCGAAAAAAGTCAATGCTAAAAAGAAAGTTCAAGTTCGTCAGTCTGCTAGATTGAACAAAGATTCAACTTTACTTTAGGATCAAAATTGTAATTGATATATGGTTTAGTATATTCGATGTCCTACTTTTTTCGTTATTATTAATAAAATTGTTTTTTGTTTAAAAAAAAACCCCTAATTCAATTATAGTGACTATCATATTCTTCTTGGTCATTTAAAAATTAAAAAAAATAAAAAAAGCATATTTAAAAGTTTTTTGACAAACTTTTTATATGTTAATTTTTCATTAACCAAAAAAAATATATAACGACGTGTAAAATATATTTTGGATTCAAAAAAAAATATTTTACTTATTCTAGATATCATTAAAATTAAATCAAAAGGGATGCGAAAATCACATTATATATTTCTTTGTCAACCTAACCATTCATAACTTCTTAAAAAATTAAAATCGGAGGGGGCGCGGCTGCACTGGCTAGGCCCCCCTTTCTCTCCGCCTCTGCTTGGATAAACTTAAATAAACTGATGAACTCGAACAAGTTTCTTATCATCATCAACCTTTTCAAAACTATCAGATCTAGATGGTGACACCAAACGAATCAGATCAATCTCCTCTTGCACATCACTAGCACTGTCAGCAACAGATGGGTGGCGGTGACAGCTGAGATATTGTCCACCGTCAGCACTCTCACCAAATTGATTGATGAAATTATCAACATTAATGGCAATATGAAACGTCATTAACTCCAATGAGATCTGTAAAAGGAGCACCACTCCCTCAGTGGAAAACGAACTTAAATCCTTTTTAACTTTCCTTTAAACTGTTTGCATGAATCATAAGCTATTTTGCAACAAGCTCTTCAATAGGCCTCTGCCACCGCTGCTTTCCTGGGTCCTCCTTCATGGCTCTCTCCAGCGCTTCTCCGCTTTTCCTCGCGGCTTCGAATTGCTTTTCTAGCTGCATTATTTCTTGGTTCATTCTTTGAAGGTGCACATTTCCGTGTGTATGAATGATACGCTTAGTGGCATATCATTCATCGTTGTTAAAACCATCAGGGAGGATAAATTAGGGGATGGGTTCTTTTGATCTTTGAGATCTGTTACATATGGTGTGAATAGAAGCATGGCCAAAGGTGTAAACCCTTTGACCAGGGGAGATAATAATCAGGGCTACTTCTGCACCACATAGGATGATGAGTTCGTGGCCTGTATAAAAATGTCGGATCAGCGATTGGAGAAAAGTTACTTGGAGGTTGCTTTCGTCTTTCACCTTCACCATTTCGATTTTTTGGTGGCCTTGGCTGGTCCTTCTTGCAATAAGAATTTAGTAGGAGAAAAATATGGTTTGATAGATGTGTGTGGAAGGAGCGATGGTTTTTTATTTAATGGAGAATGGAAGAATTTATAGACAGTTCAGTGTGTGACTTAGTGGCCTAGATAATGATATTTATGAACTGTGTTAATAAAAACTTCCTTACCATCATCAAAATCGTATCTTGTAATCCGAAAATGATTTTACTGATTAAATTTATGAACTTGGTTTTCTTTTTCCCTTCTGGGGGAGTGTGTATTTGAGTTGATTATTACATTTTCTTTCAATTTATACATTTATTACTTCAGAGTAGCGTATCCCTTTATGATTACAGTATATTAGTGTTATTATGAAGGTAGAACAAAAAGAAAAAATACGGAATAGAAAATTTAAAATGCGATTATTTTAGAATCAAATTATTTAGAAATAAAATTCTTAATATCAAATGGACCTTCTATATGTAACGTGCATAAATAAGTAAATTAAACGCGTTGAAGCTAGTTCATCACAACCATGTTAAATCCCTCTCACAATGCTGCATTTGCAATTGAATCAATTTACGATTTACTCAATGTAAATATGGGAAGGGCAATCAACATATATACTCCTCATCATATAATAATAGTTCGCATCCTAGCTCCTATACTGTGAATTCGGGACCATGCTGCTTAAGAATGCAAGTATTCTAACTCCATATTTGTATTAAAAGTTACATTATCTTGTGAATGCGTAAATTGGATTACGAAATTATTGAAATTAATGCAACTCATAAATAAGAAAACTACCACGATCTTTTTATATCATCACATTGCCAAAATCGCTATATACGCGATATACTTTATTATGAATTCAAATTTGTCTTTCGACTGTTAAAGGCTCAAATTTGACTACTCGCTAAATAATCTTTCTACACTAATAGATTATCGAAATTGACACACGTGTCATATTATATGCGCCTATATTTCAGGTATGTATCGTACTCTACATTGCCAGACATGTGTCATACAATTATCCGATTACCACAATCGCTGTATAAATATTGTTCTATATACATACTCAAATTTGACTACATAACCTTTTTACTATTATAGGCACTAATTTGGCTTCTCACTACATAATCTTTCTAGATTATCATATTACCAAAATCAATATGCGAGTCGTATCATACGCACCGTATTATATAGTAGACTCAAATTTGACTACATGTGGAGCATACAAAACACGTATAGTGTAATGGAAGATTATTTCATGATTAGGGTTATAGAGCATACAAAAAATAATACATCTTTGTTCCGAAATAATTGTTCAATTTAGATTTTTTACTTTTAGTAAAACGTACTATGCACGTGCATTGCACGACCGGTTTTAAAAATGTTAGTTTCTTAAAGTTTAAATGATATGAAGTCTCAAGGAATGATTTTAAAGTGAGATATGCATCATACTCTATATTGTTTGATCTGTACTCGTACTCTTATCATATTACCACGATCGCTGTGCAAATATTGTTTTGCGTTATATACTCAAGTTTGACTACATAATCTTTCTACTGCTATAGGCTCAAATTTGACTACTCACTACATAATCTTTCTAGATTATCAGGTAACCAAAATCGATATGCATGTCGTATCATACACGTCGTATCATATAGTAAACTCAAATGTAACTGCATGCGAAGCATACAAACCGCACATAGTTGAATCGATGATTATTTTCCTAATTAGGGTTATAGAGGGAGCATATGCATGGTACTCTACATTGTGTGATCTGTGTCGTACTATTATATATCAGCTTACCATGTTCGCTGTGTAAATGATGCTTTGCATTATATACTCAAATTTGACTACATAATCTTTCTAATGTTATAAGCTCAAATATGACTACTCACTACATAATCTTTCTAGATTATCAGGTTACCAAAATATATACACATGTAATATCACACAGACGATATCATATTGTAGACTCCAATCTAATTACATCATACAAAACATGCAAATTTTAATGGAAGATTATTTTCCTAATTAAGGTATAGAGGGAGCATACAAAAAAAAAATACATCTGTGCTCTTAAATATTTGTTCAATTTAGATTTTCACTTTTAGTACAACGGCGTACTATGCACATGCATCGCACAGACAATTTTAAATGTTATTTACTTAAAGTTTAAATGATATGAAGTCTTGAATTTTTATACAAATTATTCAAGTGTATTATTGCAAATGTATATTTTATATGAAAACTCTCAAGTATATATATATATATATATATAGATATTATACTAATAAATATGTATGTATTAATAAAACTTTATGTAAATAGTTAATTTAATATCTATCTTAGTAGAGTACCTGATTAGAAGGTTGCCTATTAAACATGCATATACTAGAATATTCTACACTTATAATCACTTTTGACATGTCAATTATAATTAGATTTAATTTTGCTGAACGGTTCAATCAAAATCAAATTACTGGGCACTAGAATTTTTCTATATATATATATATATCTATATGTAAAACGTTAGTAAATTAATAATCTCTAAATTAATAACTTCGACTAATTAGTAATTTCTCTATTCCGAACTTGGGATCAGTACAAGAAATGAGCAAAATTGATAAAAATAATAAAATAATAATATTTCAAAAATATCTCTATACATTTATTGGTCCCGACAATACTATAAAATTAATACCTCCCCTAAATAGTAAAAATAATCATAAAATTATAAATATTTATTAAATGACGAACTATAAATTCTTCTTTTTAGTTCTTCAAGTTGATATAAAATATAAATGGATTTTAGTATCAAAAAATATTTGAATACTTGCTTGATTCGGATGGTAAAGATAACAGAAAATTAGACAATTTAGTAAGGGTTCTTTTTTCTTTAACGAATCTCTTTAAATTAAATAATTTATTAATTTATCGATTATTGATGATTCTCTAACTTAATAAATTTTGGTAGTTCCACCTCTATAATTTAAAGAAGTTTTATTGTATATTGTGTCTGTGACCACACCAACTACTAATCTTAATTGGTAAAGGGTAAGAATCTCAATTTGTGAGATATCTGGTCAAAGAATTTAAAAGTTAGTCAACGCAAATGGCAATTTTCCAACCCATACTTATAGTTGAAGGTAAAAGAGTCCTAACCAACATACCAGAACTACTTTAGTATAAATAATTGTACTTTATCAACACTACAGCCCAAAAAAAGGAGAAAATGAAAAAGGAAAAAAAAAGAACCCAATATGGATATATAGTTTATGTTAATATAATGTTGATCTTGTCACGCCTATAGGCGTTAGTTTGTTCATATATATGCCTTCCTTCTATTAAGCGACAAGCAGGATTTTTATCTTCCAAATCCACAAAGGAGAAGAAATAGCAGGCCGCGTCTATGTTAGCTTGTAGAAAGTGTTAAATTCCATTCAGTAATTGGAAGACTTTCAGTTGAATATACAAGCATATAAGTACTCAATTTCAAGTCGACCAGAAAGCAATCAAATTAGGTTTACAAGGATCAGAAGTAAAAAGCAAGCAATAGACGAGCAACTTTGACTCAACTCAAACGCCCAAAAGTCACCAAATGGACGCGACCTTTGGTTCCAGTTCACATGTAACCACGGGAACTACCGTTATCGGAGTTACCTAAAACGACGGAGTTGTGCTCAGAGCAGGTTCACGGACCAGCACTGGTATGTATGTCACCAACAGGGCTTTAGACAAAATTACACAACTAACAAATAACGTGTACATTTGTCGGTCTGGATCGGCAGCTGATTCGCAGATCATTCCGGATTATGTTTGACTGTATCTTGATCACATACGATACAACTCGGGCAATCTGCGATTGTTAAAGTCGCTGCGAATCTCGTGAGGTGGATAGCCTACAATAACAAGAGGATATTACAAGCTGGAATGATAGTTGGTGGATGGGACAAATATGAAGGTGGGAAGATATATGGTGTACCACTTGGAGGAACACTCATTGAACAGTTTTTCAGTATTGGAGGTTCAGGGTCAACGTACTTGTATGGGTTTTTCGACAAAGAATGATAGGAAGGGATGAGTCAACATGAAGCCAGGATCCGGTTGTTAAAGCAATCTCTCTTGCCATTGCTAGAGATGGCGCCAGTGGTGGGGTTGTGCGGACTGTGACTATAAACTCTCAAGGGTTGACAAGAAAATTCTATTCCGGCGATTCGCTTCACTTGTGGCAGGAAGAGCTGGAACCACAGGACTCATTACTTGATTTTCTTCAATCTCAACCAAAACCAATGGAAAACTAAAAAATGGTCACACAAGCAATAGTTTGGGTGAAATCCTTTTTGATTCTCTGGGCACCGATTTCAAACTTCATGACTTATGCACTCTTTGCTTCCCATCAAAAGATTTATATTTTTTGAACTTAAACCATTGCAAAAAAAAACTCGTACGGCCAAGTTTAATCAAGCGATTGCACATTTGCACTGCGTGACCGACGAGTCAAATGGATACAAAGTAGTGGTATTGTCATACGTCCACCTCGCGATCATTTAAAGCTAAGTTGTTGAATTTGATAGTTGGGTAATCCATTCATGGAGATTGATTAATATGGTTCACCTCGTAGTTTCGACTTCCTGTTGCTTGTTTAAACTGTTGCTTTGTGTGTATGTGTGTTCTATCCACATGAAATCAGTAACTTAGAAGCAAAATAATTGTCCTAAATGACATGTGCTGTGATGTGCGTTAGCTGCTGTCTACAAATAGTGCAGCAATTCTCTACCCAGTATTTGACTATTTGGTGTTTGTGGTGGAGTGGAGCTCTCAGAGCAGGACAGGCCATGCTGTTGCTTTCGATTAGTACGTTATCAGATGTGACTCATAACTTAACTTTGATTTGACTGATTTCTTAATCATCGGTTTACCACAATCAATTTAATATATTGATGGAATATTTTGACTGTGCATACTTCCAAAAGTTGTTCCATGTTGATTCTGCTGAACTTGTTCTTTAGACAGGATCAGAGAAGGTGAATTTATTAGCAATTAGTAAACGAATTTGTTCTAAACTTTTTCTTCTTCTTCATTCGGTATATTTTAGGCTACCGGTGTCCGAATCGACTGTTTTAATCAGGATATACATTTGTATAATTTCTTCCAATTGGTGACTTATAAAAAACACTTGTGTACGATAAACTTAGTTCTGTAATGTCGAAAACTGCAAATTATTGTATAACGGATGGTATAGTTAGCTACAGAGTTGATCGTGTATAACTTGTAAAATCATGAAGTCCCCCTGTTGAGGCACTTTCAACGGAACGCCAAACGAAAAAGATTATTACTTCAAAATTGTTAAAGAAAACCAAAGATTCCTGGCCAATAATAGATTAGGCAGCGGAAACCTTGGAAGCCTCAAGATCAACCGCGAGCTTAAGGAAGCTGCAATCATCATCTTCAAGAGCCATTTGAATCGGGTTCGACCCGATACCGTCGGCTATGGCTAACGCAATCATCTTCATCTCCTCTCTGAACTCCTCAAGGTCGACTTCCCCGTTGTGATCCCCGTCAAACTTCTCGAATATCGAGTCGTATAGCTCCGCCACCTCCTCCGGCGGGGTTGCCACGTCCACTCCGAAATGGGTTTCGAGCAGCCGGAAGGACTCCAAGGCCTTGCGCAGCTCCCACCTCGACAAAACGCCGTCGTGATCCAGGTCGAAGGCGGCGAACTTCTCGTCGGTGCTCTTGTTGAATTCGGATTCGTTGCTCACAAAGTCACGAATCGTTGAACCGTCGATTATCACAACTCCCATCTCCTTTAATTACGGTAAATAATTTCTCTGAAAAGTCTGTTATGTAAATGTGTGTGTTGTGGGTGGAATTGGAGTTGCTACGGCTGAATTTATAGGGGAATTAATTGATGTTTGGAACATTCTTGAAGCAGAGGATACGTAGTAGTTTCTTGGGAGTGAAGACTGGCATCGAATAAGGAATAATAACAGAGATATTCTACGCAGTTAATGTGAGACGCGGGAAATTAACTAGAAAAATGGGGGACACAAACTCATGGATTGAACCGACCAATTTTATGCTCATTGGTTTGTTTTACAAATTACAACGTGCGGTTTTTCTTTTTTAATTTTCAAAAGACATCTTTCTTTGTTTCACACTTTAATCTTATTTAACCTTTATGCGTTAGTAACTTTTATAACATTGTTTAAAATATTTAACATGTATCTGATTAATCAATTATTTACTTACTATTTTTTTGTGAAATGTTCTTATTTTTTTCTAAATTTTTTTTCTAATTGTAAATAATACTTAATTTTCTTTTCCATATTTGCAGTGTATGTCACCGACAACAGTAACTAATCATTTAATTACTAAATGATTATACTTGATGTCATTCCCCTACCCAAATCTTATGCAAATTTCTTTTCCTTTCTTATCCTAGCTAGTACGAAAGGACGAAACGAAAAAACAAACTTCGTCCCTAAAAGCACAAGAAAAAGAAAAAGTTTGTACAAGTAATAAATTATGAAATAAACATGATTACAGTAATATGATATTTTCTCGATGCAAGTATAATTTATTTGGTGATCGTAATCGGCCACCGAACGCTAATTTGTAAACTAACCCACAAACCATAGATTGAACAAAAAATCTTCGCCTTAATTGTGTTTAGTTCCTTTCAGTCTAAGGTCCTTATCTGTTATCATTAATTCTGTTTGTAAGTTTCCTTTCAGTTGTTTAACTTTACCTGGAACTATTGCACTCGTCATCATCAATCCAGATCCAGCAGTGAGTTGAGGAAGGCAAAGTTATAATTATATTTCGGAAATGGAAATTTTTCATCATCATTAATATAAACTTTTATTTAAAACATTTAATTCTTGGAGAACTACTTAAAATTTGTCACAAACAAAATTTTGTCACAAATTTTCCATTACAAGATGAAGCAAATTTTCCATTAATGGCGGTAGATGGCTTGACCTATTGCCAGCCAGGCTTGCAACCGCTGCTGCTACTTCCGTAGCATTTCTAATTGATCTTTTGATTAAGAAAATATATACACTTTTAAATTAACAAAAAAATTTTTGACCATTATTGTTTTCTGGCTTAAACTTCAATAAGACCGAATTAAGGTCATGGTTTCAGTCGACCAAACCGTTGAAAAAATGGTCAACTAGGGTGGACGATTCAGACTATAAAAATTAATATGTCAATTATTTAGACCTGTTGACTACAATCGAAAACCATGCTTTGAATAATATTGAAACCTAAGTTCTAATAATAGGAGATTGATAAAATAATTTGGTGGTCTCTTGTTTCCAAGTATTAGCCATTAGGTGGGCACCTTTTGCCTTCCTCAACTCACTGCTGAATTGATGATGACGAGTATAATAGTTCCATGGTAAAGTTAAACAACTGAAAGGAACTTGCATACAAAATCAATGATAACTGATAAGGGCCTTAAAGTGAAAGGAACTCAACAGAATTAAGACTAAGATTTCTTGTTCAATCTATGGTTTGCAGGTTAGTTTTCAACTTTAGGTGGCCGACTGAGATCACAAAATTTTGAGAAGATATTATATACTCTATTACTTTAATCATGTTTATTTCATTGCTTTCGCTTGTACAAACAATTTTCGTTTTTTTTCCCCCCCTTTCGAGGGACGAAGTGAGCTTTTTCGTTTCGTCCTGTTGTAATGGAATTACATAAAGTACAATCAATTAGTTACTAATTGATTAGTGAAAACATCGATGGTAAACACTGCAAATATGGAGAAAAAAAAGTTATTGTTTACGATTAGAAAATAATTACTAAAGATAATAACATTTCACAAAAAATAAGTAAATATAATATTTTTTTTTATATATTATAAACTCGGTGTCGAAATCATTGCTACGACTAATACGGAGTCCAAAGTAAATGTAATTGATTAGATACATGTTAAATATGTATACAGTGTTATCGTAAGTGAATAACCCATAAAGGTTAATGAAGATGTGAAACAAAGAAAGATGTCTTTTGAAAATGAAAAAAAGAAAGCCGCACGTTGTAATTTGTAAAACAAATCAATGAGCATAAAATTGGTCGGTTCAATCCATGAGTTTGTGCCCCCCCATTTTCTAGTTAATTTTCCCGCGTCTCACATTAATTGACTAATTGCGTAGAAATATTATTATTCTTTATTCCATGCCTTAACTCCAAGAAACTACTACGTATTAACATTACAGATTACAGAGGAATATTTTAGTTAAAGGTAAATGGGAGTTGTGATAATCGACGGTTCAACGATTCGTGACTTTGTGAGCAACGAAGCCGAATTCAACAAGAGTGCCGACAAGAAGTTCACCGCCTTCGACCTGGATCACTGTCACGCCCCGAACCTAGGGCCTAGTTGACACGCCACAAGTACAACAAAGAACTATGTCTCATATCATACAAGTGAGTCATCTTACATTTTCTTTTTTTTTTAACTCTAAGATTGATAAATCCAAACTGCCATACATTATTTATCAAAAACAAATTACTAGAGTTTTATGTACCGAACTTAAACTATAACAAAATACAAAAGAACATTTCTTCAATTCGTCTAGTGGTCACCAATCTATCATTCTTCTCCTTCATACTCCCCATCGTCGTAATCGTCATCACTGTCACTCGAAGTATCTATTGGGGGGTCAGTACATGCAAGTTCAAGTACTTATGCAAACTCGAAAACATTTCACAAAAACATGATCAATTCAAAAATATTTCATAGAACACTTCCATTTCATAAAACAACATTTCACTTCGGAACTTTCTCATTTCAGAAATAACACATTCACAACTTTAGAAATTGAGACATAGTTATATACGTTATCATGATAACCTGTGCACAGTTCCGGATATAAACACGCCGAAATTAGGGATCATTTTAACTTAAGGCTACTCTCGCCTTAGGACTTGGCCTTTCCAGCTTTTTCGTCCCCTTTAACTTTAGTGATCACTACCACAATATCGTACGTGCATATAGTCTCAATTCCAAAATATTTTCAACATAAATCAAAGAAAACATTTATCACATTCCGTGCATAACAATCAAAACATTTAGTTCACATAAGCACTTAGACAAGCATGTAAATCGTGTAAAGGAACGCACCTTGACTTAAGCAACTTCCTTGTCAAGCAATTCAACACATTTTTCTTCACCTAACACCATGCACATTATTTTCTTAATACTACTTTTACAATACTAATAACTTCTACTAATGTCTTAAGTATAATATTAAAACAATTGTTTTAAAATTTTTTATACTTGTGTACCATAAACCACACTAGAAATCATCCCCATGAAAGATTGGAGGGGTCACCACAGTCCCACTTAAAATCAAACCTCCTTAGACATGACATCTCTTAGTGAGTTGTTAGTATATAGTTAAAATCTATGTTTAATATAATACTAGTAAGTTTTCGCTAAAGTAAACTTTAAAACTTTAACTACCATTCACTATTTACGAAAATATATCCATATTTGAAAAACATACAAAATACTACTTTGAAAGAAAGTATAATATAATAGGAGAATAAATAGTGCTTATTTAAAATATCATATTATTATAAGTAAATATATACTATTATTTGAAAGAGATCACATTACTACTAACAAACAATATATCACTACTTAAGGAAATGTACTAATAATTAAGAAAATATATGAAACATTATTTTGGAAAGAGAATAAACTATCAAGAACCATATATATTATCCTTTTGAAAAGAAGGCACACTACTACTTGAAAAATATAGCTCATTATTTTGTAATATTATTATTTTGAAAGAAAACATACTACATAGAAAATATAGCTCATTATTTGGGAATACATATTACTACTTACAAAATTAAAGAAGATATAACAATCTAGTTGCATGGCTTACTATTTAAGAAGTTATCCTATTACTACCAAAACATGGATGATACTTGAAACCATTAATCTAAACATTCCTAGAATATATAACAATAGACATTCAAAGGCTTGTATCATAAATAACACAAGGAAATTTATCTATTAAAATTATAACCCTAATTAACAGGAGGAGTTTGAAAATTACCTTTTAGAAGACCCTTTGAGACTCTATAATCCCCAAAAACTACCTTGATCTTCCTTAAAAACTACTAGGAAATTTTTGAACTATAGCTAAGATTAGTCTTTCACTAAGAAGTGTCCAATGCTTAGCAAATTTTTGGTGTACCACAACACAATGGGAGGTCCTCTATTTATAGGGGGGGATTTCACTAGTCTTACCTACCCCTTCATTATTTTTTTTAATATTTTTCTCTATTCCTACCTACCCCTTCATTATTATTTTATTCCTAACTAACCCTTCTTTATTTTTTTAAATATTTTTCACTATTCCTACCTACCCCTTCATTATTATTTTATTCCTACCTAACCCTTCATAACTCTTTCACATTATTTTAAAATTTTTGTAGGATGACCTTTACTATTCACATTATTTTTACGATTAATGGAAGCTTCTATTGTTATTGTAATTATTGTTTCTATTATATTATTTTTATTAGTGTTAATATTGTTATTGTTATTATTACTATTATTATTATTATTTCTCCACATGTAAGAAAACTTAGGATATTCTTAATTTAAATTAACTTAGAAAAACCACATTTTTACAAAAATATTGGGTATTACATCTTTCCCTCCTTAAAAAAAGTTTCGTCCTCGAAACTTACCTAGTGGCCTCTTCAAATAGGTGAGGGTATTCTAGTTGAACTTTGTCTTCTAGCTCCCACGTAGCTTCCCTTGGGGTGTGATTTGACCATTGTACTTTTACATAGTTGATGACTCTATTCCTTAATACTTGTTCCTTTTGGTCAACAATCGTAATAGGAACTTTCGGACAAGACAGGTTTTCTTCGACTCGAAAATCTTTATCTTGTTCCAGGATTTGGCCAGAGTCATGGACACACGAAGTTGCGACACATGGAACACACTGTGCACTCCTTCTAGTTGTGGAGGGAGAGCCAAGGTAAGCTAAGTTACTAATTTTCTCCAAGACTTCATAGGGCCCAATGAATCTT